GATCCAGATTATGTAATGAGGAGGAGGAAATAGCCACTGATATCATCTTCGAATGCGAAGCAACAGCTCAATGGAGATTTAACCTAACGTACGGAAAAAACTTAGGGAATCAAATTGCAGCAGCGGCAGTCAATGACCTGATACTTGTCACGACTCAGGAGATCGCGCGACACGGGAACCGTGGAAGTGGGGGCGTGTCCCCCCTTTTTCAGCGGGAAAGGAGACTCCGCCGCAATTGGCCAATTAGTGTTAGATGCGCCAAGGAGTTGTCGGAGAAAGACCTGCTGCGGAGGAGACCCAGTTGAGTGCAGGGTTTAAAACAAATCAAGGTATTTCTGCTATTGCCGAAGAAAAAAAATAAAGCAAATAAAAATGATAATGAAAGTAAATTAATTCAACTAAAATTAAAATAAAATAAAAAAGTTGAAATTAAGCAATAACAGGGCCCTCCGCCTAATTTCTCTGAAATGCTCTTCAAAGGCCGTTTGATGAGATTCTACATCCAAACCGAATTTAGGATTTTCCAATTTACTATTGAATGCAATGATATCATTCTGGACTGTTTCCACTCTTTCCTCTAAATAATCTAGTTTTTCATACATCGCTTTGTGTTCATAGATATTTTCAGCTGTAAGATTCTTAAAGGTATCGGCATAAAACTTTACTCTCGTAAAAAGTTGGTCCCTTTTACCTTTTAATTTTTCATAAAGTTGCCTATCCTTTTCCGATATGTCGATCATTTTAAGCGACTCGAAATTGTAGATCTATAATAAGAGAAGAATGATCAGAAAGAGAAACCAACAAATTTAAATTACGTCCAATTTAAATTAAATTTAAACTATATATATTTTTAAACCTTTAGGGATTAATTCAAAGAAGTCTCTTCTGTAAACAAGGGATTAGCACTTGAGTCTCACCTTATCTCGAGATTGAATCACAGCTAAAATGGCCGCATGAACATTTAAACAAAAAAAAATTATCCAGAGGCCGATTTAGACCTATCCGGCCCGGAGGACCAATATTTCGGCTATTGCCGAAGAAAAAAAAAATAAAGCAAATAAAAATGACAATGAAATGAAAATAAATTAATTCAACTAAAATTAAAATAAAATAAAAAAGTTGAAATTAAGCAATAACTTTGAATCTTTGCAAGGAACCAATTAGTCACAATGAAGAGCAAAAGTAAACGTGTACTTACCACCAGTCACGAGTCGCCCTCGTCGGAAGAATCGGCCTCCGCGTCGAGCTCGAGCGGGCCTCAGCCAGAAGCAACGTGTTTTGCAAATCGTGATGGTTTCCAGCCAGTCTTCTCGGCCCCCTTTTTGTGACCAATATTGGCTACTTGCACGGACTCGTTTGATGAAGAAATAAAATAAAAATAAAACTTAAGAATAACGGAGACAAACGTAAGAGTCTAGGGAACGGAAGATGTACAGCCTTCTCTCATGCCTTGAGAACAACAACTGGCTTAACCGAGACCCCCCTCTTTAAGATCAACGGTCACCTTTAACTGTGATTCAAATTAAATTACTTAGTGGCGTAAACACAAGGCATCTTTTGAAAATATTTGTTTCTTACAATTGTAATAATTTCATTTCTAACAATATAGAATTACTTTTAGTTTTAACATTTTAATTAAAATCCCTAAATCCGTATTTTTCGTGTATCGTACCTTCTTTTCCACTGTCTCGTAAAAGCGAGACGAGGAGGTCGTACCATACTTCTAAGAAGAAGGATTGAGTCTATTGACTGAACTAAGGAACTAGGAAGCCAGAAGGCTGCAGTGCCTGGGGAGTGCAAACCCGCTTCCTAGTATCCTTCTTCACCACACCATAAGGAAATGAATTATTTGGCGAAAAGCGAACTAATAAGTTATTTCTTTCCTTGCATATCAAAAAAATACGAACAATTAACACGTACAAACATTTATTTGTTTGTATATTTTAAATAAAAAGTTTATTTTAAATAAATTGTTTTTTAGTTCTAAATTGTACCTCAATTTTTGGCGTCATGGAACTTAGCCCTCCTTATACCATAGGAAAATAAACTCAGCATTCACGGATTTAACTTTCACGGCACTTTTCTGGAACCAAACACCCGCGAATGATTTTTCTTCTTTTTCCAATATTTTATGTATTGATACGAAGCCCTACTCGTCACGTTTATATCAAATAAAAGATATTATATATATAAAGATATATAAAGTGAAAAGCGGGAGAAAAGAAAAAAAAGAAATATTGACAAAATCTGGCTGTGGTACACTTGTGTTTGAACAGGAAAATAAATTTTCATTTCTGATTTCAACAATGGATGAATATTTGAGTTTCATTTTTTTTAATAATGCAAAGTACTTTCAAAGTGTGACAAAACTATAGGACGTTACATTAAAAAAAAATTAATCTCCACATCGGCTGAAATGCATCACCTTATTAAAATTTTAAATTTCCTGTAATTCTACCTGCCAAATTACCTGCAGAACTACTAACTATTTTTCCACCATTTACTAAATTTCGTTGCAGTTATAAGAAAACAAAAAATATATGCCATAATTTTCAATATTAATCGAACTCTTGAATTTTTTTGATTTCTTATTTTAAACCAACATTTTTCGGTGAATGATAAGCAATAAAATTAAAAGAAGTGTTGCTCATAAAAGCAGGAGTGAAGTGAGCTTAGCCACAATTCTTCCTCAACCAGGCATAATAGACTTTTGCATATTTCCTATCATTCTATTAACCATAGTTAAAATACTCCTATTTTCTTCTTTTTCTTCATTCTACAGTCAAGTGTGCAGATATGTTAAATCTTGAATTATACTTTAAGTTAAACTATCTTTCATTATTTTTATAACAATAAAATGTTTTTATCAATAACATCAATGAATGTGATCGTTTTTTTAAGGTATATTTGTATGAAACATTCATTGTTTAATATAGTTAAGAAATTTTTTCTTTGTTTTCTTAGCTTTGCTTTTTATATTGTAATGTTTTATGTGTTAGCATAATCTAATTTTTTATTCGCAGAAACGGTGTATAAAGAAGCGGATTATAGTGGTTTCGTTCATACGACCATGTAAGTATAGATGTGAAGTAGATATTTTTATTCAGAGAAGATCAAATTTTTTTATCTGATTTGTTCCAGGGACTCCCTCAAATGTATTCTTGTTATTTTTACCGTTCTTGCTGTCATAGCGGAATCGAAGATATACGGAAAATGTGAATTTGCGGAGGTGAAAAAGCACAAGACGCCAGGAAGTTGTAAGTTTTTCTACATTTATCCATATTTTCTCAACTTGATATGTCTGTATACATATTATATTCAAAAACAATACAATTACAAAACATAAACTTCCCGAAATATGAGTTGTGAGATTTCGTCGTGTTGTATGCGGGGTGATGGAATTTGGCTGTTTATCGATTTTGGTTTTGTTAATCCTTGCTGAGTTTCGGTATTTCGCCATCTTTAACGTGTCTGTCCACTGAATGCATATCGAAATAAATTACCTAACAAGCCAGCCGGATGATTACCTTTAATCCAAAGGAATGACTAATAAGGTGACCACCAGGTTGGTGTGATACGGATTTGGGCCATTTTTTTTTTTTTTTGGTGATACTCCACTCCAAAATATCGGACACGTATACGCCACTTCTTGTGAATAGGCCCTGATTTCCCCAAAATAATTTTTTTAAATTGAATTTTCCGTTTTTTAATATTTTTATTTTGCCGTTTCACTTGCTCGATTCAATATGTGAATATAACATTTTACAACATTTTTTATGCAGTTTGTAATAAAAATATAGAGAAAAGCTATGGAAGTTCATCGATTCCAACAAACCAAATATTGTTCGAGTAAATTAGGTCATNTATATATGTCGGGGAAGGAAAACGTCAGTGCACCGCGGGAATGACGTCAACAGTAAGAAGAAAAGAAATTCTGAAGGAGGGGAGAGAACAGAAGTGAAGAGAGAGAGGAGCGTCATTCCAAATCCGTTGGGAGTAGCTGGAAGTTGTTTTCCATCCTTGTGTCAAGTTTTAAGAGTTTAATTTCTAAAAGAAAAATAATAAATTGTGTGTAAAGTACATTAAATAGTTTTTTTCAATGAGTTCCGAAATCGAGGAGGGAGAAATCCCGTCTGCGGAGCCCTCAACCCGTTCTTCGCCGAAATATATTTGGTAACCAAGTGGCTTGGAATGCCGTAAGCCACGGCCCTCCACACGTGGGGACTGGACGGTCCAGGCCCACTCCGCTACCGATTACCTCGTGAGTTGTACTGTTTTGTTAGTAGTAATACTTGCCTTATTACCTTATTTTGTGTTATTTTCTATTTTCCTTTTGTAACTATTTTTCTTGCTGATACGCGAACCCTACCTCGCCTACGCTGGCTGGTCGTGGGCACTAATCTTTTCTTTTATGACTTAAACTAAATCGAGTCCTTTTCTCTTTCTCATTTCTTTGATTTATGCCTGGCGTCCAAGTTTGTTAAAATTAATTTAGTTAGCTTTTTAAATGTATTCCTTATGCGGTATACACATTATTGGTTTGAAAGTATTAATTTTAATAACACAAAAATTAATTTATTTCATGCAATCCTAGGTGTAAATGTTTTCATGTGAATTTTCTGTTTCTTTATATATTAATTACAATTTATATTAACACTTTTTAAAATTTAATCATTATCCTTATTTAATCTTATCAACAGATCGACGACACTGTAAGTCTTTTTTAAATCAATTATTTTTTTTACACATCATTTCAGGTATTCGTCCACCTGAACACCTCGACTTGAAGAGGTAACTTCAATCAAAGTGCAGTCAAAAGACGTGTGCTGTTTCAGTGGGTGCATCCCTACACGTACTTGCCTTTCCATTCTTATAATTAATTGTTGTTGCACAATAGAATTATAGTTGAAGAGGGAAGAAAAAAATTATGAATTATTATTGTTTTCTTTCATATTAAACTTACAGTTCATATTAAAATTACAGTACAATGAAACAGAGTCTCATCGATATTTCATCGTTTTGGCAATGTTTATTTCAAGAGCAGTTCAACACATACTTGTCTTTGCATTCTTTCTCCCAAACAGGCCATCTGCCGAATTTAAATTTTTTGTAGATGAAATATGCGCAGTGGAACGCCGGTGCAACGTCATCTGCTAGCATAACTTCTGTCGGCGAAAACAACCATTTGTGAACAGTAATTCTTTCAAAATATTTTCTCGGCTCGATACTTACCCTCGCAATTAATTCGGCAAAAGTTCCTTACACCGCACATTTCGTTAGATATCTAAATGGATAAAATTAATTAAAACATTATTGTAGCGTATTAACACTATAGAGTATAAGTTATACCCCGAAAAGGCCGTTGTAAACCAGCCCTCCGTGTGCTGTTTCTCCAAAGAATGAGTCCCATTTACTTGCATGTTCTGCGATGCAAACCCCTTAAACAAATTAAAACTATCAAAGCAAGGATATAATGAAACGACGTCATTAAATATTAAATGATGTACGCTTGTTAGTTTAAAAAATTTTCATGTAGAACATACATGAGGAATTTGGTGGTTACCGATCATTTTGGTCTGTCTATCCTAACTTGAGTGGTCCCATGGCATTTCGCCTTATTCAATGTTGGGTTTTACAAAGGGACGACCAGGTCGGTGTGTCACGGATTTGGACCAAACCTTTTTTGGTGATTCTACACTCCAAAATATTGGACACGATCCGCCACTTCTTGTGAATAAGTGCTTTGGACAATCATTTTATTCATCATCTCATTTTACGCGCTTGTACGCTTGTAATTTTCCTATTTAAAATCTTTTAGCCGTTTTTGACTTAAAGCCGTTTCAGTCAGATGTTCCGATAACGATTTCTTAAAAATCAGAAAAAATTTAGAGGTTAAAAAAAGAGATAAATTTAAATTCAAAGAAAAATCTATATTTGGGCGTCTCTATAGGTAATAAAATGAAATTAAATATTACTTTTAAGAAAAAAAATATGACCTAGTTTACTTGAACAATATTTGGTTTTATAAATTTTTTGGTTATTCATAAACTTTCATAGCTTTTTCTATACGGTTATTGCAATCTAAAATGATGTATTTACATAGTTGATCTGAGCAAGCAGAACGGCAAAATGAAAATTTTAAAAATATATCAAGTTGAGAAAATGTAGATACGCCGAATAAAATGAAAATGTAGAAAACTTACAATCCGATACGTTTGCTGGCATGTTGCGTTTTTCACCTCCGTCACAAATTGACATTGTGTGTATTTTATCGATTCCGCTGTGACAAGAACGGCAAGAATAACAAGAATACATTTGAGGGAGTCCCTGGAACGAATCAGATTAAAATTTGATCTTCTCTGAATAAAAATATCTATTTCACAGCTATACTTACATGGTCGTATGAACGAAACCTCTTTAATCGGCATCGTGATCACTCGCTTCTTTTATACGCCGTTTCTGTCAATAAAAAATTAAAAAATGCCTACAACGTGGAACCGGCACATTTGTGTTTCGTCATTTATGTTTACTCTTAAGCAGATGCCGCTGAATCGAATTTAAAAAAAAATAAATCATAACGATCATAATGTAATCATCATTACATTGATAGGCTAATTTTTTTGGGTCTGGAACTTCGCCCTTTTTTCACGGTTAGGTTTTTGGTAGGATAGTCTTCTTAAGACATTTTTTAATTAAACAATCAACTATTGAACCCTGTTTTATTTTATTACAAGGTTAAAGTTTAATAATCTTTTTTTTCAGCATTGGACTTTTATCCATAGCCATTTGTTAAAGTAAGAGTAACACCTAGCACACAGTGTTCTAGTTTAATATAACAAGCTCTGTTTGTACGTTGTTGTTACAGCCAATGCCGTGGGAGGAAAGAAAAAAATTTTTTTTTTTAAATTAATGAAACGTTAATAAAATAAATTTAAGAAAAATTCTAAATTAAAATAAATTTTAACAAGGGACTAACCACCTTCCTTCAGATGACGGCTGCAAGAAGCGTAGAGAGCTCGGGCCCGACTCCTCTGACCTCGCCGCAGAATATCAGATGATTTCAGGTGGAAGAGATCGATGTAGAAGCAGGTTTTTTTGGTTTTCGACCGAGAAATCTCATAACATCAAAAAAACAAACAGAAAATGAAAAGGACCTTTCCAAAACTATAATTCAGCTATGTACAACGAAGTAGGGTGATTATTCAGAGGAAGGGAGAGAAATCAATGCGCGTACTGGTCGGACATAATAACCGGCAGACGTACGAACAGTTGCTACGCGGGTTACTCCATCAGCGCCAGGGTGAACCGCCTGAACACGACCGATGGGCCATGATAGTGGGGACGTCCCTACTCCACGCAAGAAAACTACATCACCAACCTTTAGTGAAAGGGACGACCGATGCCACTTTTTCCTCTGAATCAACGCGTTCAAATATTCGTTGGACCAGCGGCGCCGAAACACTTGGAGAAGTTGCCTTAAATGATGCTATCGGGAAATAGGTCGTAATTCGTCAGCCATATGCCGCTCTGGAGTCGAGAGGGGAGATGTAGCGAGCAAAAAATGGGTGGGACTCAGCTAGTCTGGATCATCTCCAACCCCGGGCATAGTGGAGCAGAGGGGGCGACTATTTAGAACCGCCTCAATTCTAGCAAACAGAGTACTGTACTCCTCAAAAGTCTGGGTTCTATCCCCAACAAGACGATATAAAAGCCTTTTGGCGGACGCTTGCCAGAGACCGCCGAAATGAGACGCAGCAGGAGAGTTAAAATGCCACTGAATGTTTTTTTGGGAAGCGTGTGTGAAGATGGCCTCTTTGGTGTCTTCTAGAAATGAGCAGACTTCCTTGAGAGAGCGTGCGGCTCCGCAATAGTTTCTTCCGCAGTCGGAATAAATTGCGCCGGGTAAGCCACGCCGAGAAACGAAGCGGTCAAAGCAAGCAAGAAAGGCTTCAGTCGAGAGATCGGTAACCTTTTCCAAATGCACAGCTTTGGTCACCATGCATAAAAAGATGCACAAGCAACCCTTAGAGATGGCCGTTCTACGGCGATTAGATTCTTTCACGGCGAAAGGCCCGGTAAAATCAGTGCCTACTGAATGGAAGAAACGCACGGGACGTAACCTACTAAGCGGTAGGTCTGCCATTCGAGGGGAGGGAGATTGCGCACGAAATTTGTGGCAAGTGAGACATCCATTTATACGTTTTCTAACTAAGCTTCGAAGCGAAATTATCCAAAACTTTCGCCTTATCAGGGATTGAACTGTCATAGGACCGGAGTGAAGCGAGGCGAAGAAAATGCGCATTTTTGGGGAGAATTGAGGGATGCCTAGAGAGAAAAGGGAGTAAGGAATGACGCAACCGACCGCCCACCCTGAGGATCCCCCTTTTATCAATGAAGGGATTAAGCGAAAGCAAGGTAGCGGCTGGCTTGCCATTAGAGAGTAATTCCATTTCATTTTTGTAGTAGAAGAGTTGAGTAAATTTTACTATGCAAAGTAGGGCCTCATCGAGCTCATGTACCGTTAATGGGCCGATCGTGCGGTCATTGATTGAAGTCCGATCAGCAGTCTCAACCAGACGACTATCATGACAAAACCTTAAAACGTATGGCACTACTCGCTGAAGTGTGGATAATTGGGAAAATTTGTTGAAATATTCAACAAATTCATCTACATTTTTTATGGAAGACATAACTAGGCAAATGGGTTTTAATTCGTCGAGTTCGTCAATCGAGAGGGGCTCAAAAGAAGACCGGTAATTTGCGGGAAGTTTAACAAAAGTGGAGGACCTTCCAACCAGAGGCGGTTCATAACTAACTCACTAGGGAATAGCCCACGCGACGCACAGTCAACAGGATTTTCACCAGAGGCATATGTTTCCATTCTGATGGCTGGGAGGATTCGAGTATTTCTACTACCCTATGAGCGACGAATGTTTTAAGGCGATAAGGAGGTGTTGCCAGCCAAGCTAGCACAATTCGTGAATCGGTGAAGAATGTTCGGGAGGCTAAGGATATTTCCAACTCAGGTAAAGTCTTACGATTCCTAGAAAGGAGCAACGCTGCGCAAAGTTCAAGTCGGGGTACAGATAGGGTTTTTAAGGGCGCGATCTTACTTTTCACCTTCAGGAAAGAGACGTGAGAATTTTCCCTTGTCTGGAACAAGAGAAAGAGTACAGCAGCATAACATCTTTCAGAGGCATCGCAAAAGCCTACGAGATGACAAAACAAATGCGAATGGCCGAAAGCTCTGGGAATTACAAATTTTCTAAGTTCTGAAATCTGTGATACAAAGTTCTGCCAAACTTGGAGCAGTTCTCCTTGAATAGATTGGTCCCAATCCACTCGAGCAATCCAAAGCTGCTGCAGAAAATACTTGATCCCAAATGTGGTTGGGGTCAAAAATCCAAGCGGATCATAAATTCTGGCGACATAAGAGAGATCGCTTTGTTGTGACACCTTCAAAGGGAGAAACTTGAAACCCAAATGAATCAGATTTCGGATTCCAATTTAAGCCAAGTATCCTTATGCAACTTTCATCCTTTGCAAAGCTAATAGGCATTTCAAGGTGGTCCGGGGGCAATCCGATTAGCACCGAGCAATCATTGCTTGACCATTTTCTGAGCTCAAAGCCACCTTTAAAAAGCAGATCCTTCAATTGTGCCATGAGCTCACGAGCTTGTTCTGAATTTGATGCCCCAGTGATAACGTCATCAATGTAAGTGTGCTTACCTAAAGCAACACTCGCCATGGGATAAGGTTTCAATTAAGGATAATCATTAATCATTAGACATGACTAATTTTTGCCCAACACTGCCTAGGATGACTAATATTATACGATTTAGTCTTTAAATTTACCCTACATTTTTTTAACCTTTCAAATAAAGCTGATTGTATACATGAAATGCCCGCACCAGTATCATTTAAACTTAAGACTTTTAAATTATTAATTTCTGTTTGAATGTGATTATTAAATTTGTTGCACTTTGATTTATTTTGATCTGTTTTTAGATTAACACCGTAGATCGTGTAATCTAGTTTTCTTTATGCTGCACGTTTTTCGATTTCTGGTTGCGTGATGAATGGAACCGTTCGGATTGACTGTTACTACTTTTTGATTGATTGCTATCAATTGACTCCGAAGATCCCGCAAAAGGTAAATCTTTATCAAAATTACTTGACTTTTGCCTTACTTTACAAGTGATCTGATTTATTCATGTTGTATATTCATGTTCTCCGAGCCTTTGTTTATAGCTGCCGGGAGGATTAGTTCCGGTGTCGGTGCGGCTTTGATAATTGTTGCTGTAATTGTTGTTTCTTTAATTCTTTGGGTACGAATATGAATATTTTGACCGATCATTATAACTAAATTTCTTATTATATTTTTCACAAGATTCATTTATTCGAAATTTATATTTGCCGTTTTCAGATTTATGTTCGAAAAATTCCTTTTGAGCTGATACTTCCAAACGCTCTACATGTAAAATGATATCGTCCAATTGCTTTAGATTAATGGGTTTTTCGGTAAATTGGAAACGGGCTCATGTACTTAAATTTACATCCGAAAGTACTATTTCTAAAATCTCATTATCCGTGTAGTTTCCTAAAATCTGAGCTGATCGTTTGACGTCATAAACGTACTCTCTAAAACATTCCTTACTATCCTGGGCCCTTAAAACTTTTCGAGATATTAAAAAGGTCCGAGTTCGGACATTAACTAATTGATTAATTAAATATCCCGAAACCTGATCAAAGGTGAATTTTTCAGTATTCATAACCATGAAAGTTGCGATAAAATTGAGTTCGCTTGTTTTGTTACACGCTCCTAAACATTTCGTCAAAATATTGGGAGTTATTTTGGTTTAGATCGTATAAATTTTCCAAAAAGGACATTATGGCTCAGGGATCATTTGTTTTGAGGTGCGGTATATTTTTTATTGCATCGTCTAAATATGTAGGGATTTTTTTGGGGGTAATTCATGCATCGTAGTTACATTTTCTTGGGTCAATTCTAGGATTGACCTCGCTGTGGAAGGTGTCGTTTCTGAGCCTGTAAAATCATTTGTGGTCGCGTTTTCTTTAGGGGCTTATTTTATTTGAGCCGACAAAGCATTAAGTTTTTGGGCCAGCTCCTGTACTTGGCTTTGTAGAACACTATTTGCCATGTTTAGCTTATTAACCTGTTCTTTTGACTGAGCTAAGGCAACTGTTAATTCTTTTATCTGTATTTTAGAATTTTCTGCCGATGTCATACATCGTTCACATTTCCATATCGCTCTCCTATCCTGACTCAATTTAATAAAATTTTCGCCAGATTTCAAGTTGTCACAAATAAAATGATAAATATTTTTACAGATAGAACATATTGTCGCTTGGTCTGGGGCAGCCGAATTTTTACAGGCAAAACAACTTTCTATAGTTAAGGTAGACTTTATTTTGTCCAAGCTTTCTGACGACATGATCGGGATGAAAGATAAAATTAAATTTGTTTTCTTCCAGAAAATTAAAAAAAAAAATATTTTAAGCAATGAATATTTCAGCCCTAACGCGTGTATTTGTAGGGTCCAAAATCCGTGAAGATAAATCGTCATAAACGAGTTGTTTTTTTGCGGAGAGACTGCAGTTTTCCCCGAAATAAAAAATTCATGCAAGATTAAGAAAATATCATTTTGAAAAACTATTAGTAACATAAAATAATTTCTTATAACACATAAAATTGAAAATACACTATTAGGATTAATGGATAAACTAAAAAAAAATTCTTTCAGGAAAAATGGATCGATCGAGGATCGCTCTGCTACCAGGTGGTACGACCTCCTCGTCTCGCTCTTACGAGACGGTGGAAAAGAAGGTACGGTACACGAAAATTACGGAATTAGGGATTTTAATTAAAATGTTCAAACTAAAAGTAATTCTATATTGTTAGAAATGAAATTATTATAATTATAAGAAACAAATATTTTCAAAGTATGCCTTGATTTGTTTTATTTTTATTACCCTGCAATCAACTGGGTCTCCTCCGCAGCAGATCTTTCTCCGACAACGTCCTTGGCCAATTTGCGGTGGTCTCCTTTCCCGCTGAAAAAGGGGGGGACAAGCCCCCACTTCCACGGTTCCCGTGTCGCGCGCCATCTCCCGACTCGTGACAGTATCATACCTTAGGTCCTCTCTTTGTGTTACTGTCCGCCAGGGAGAATCGTAGGTGACCTCAACTGATAATCTTGAGGTTACGTCACTGTGATTTATATATATATATATATATATATGTGTGTGTGTGTGTGTGTGTGTGTGTGTGTATATAAAGTTACGTCTCCCGTTTTAATAACGAGACTTCTTTTAAACAATGCCTATCTCAGTACTTAGGAATGTGTGGACTCAACAATTGCCCCTTCTATTGGGTTGTCCGGAAAATAATGCAGGATTTTAAGTTTTCATTAAAAAAAATCTATATAAAATATTCTGTTTACGTTTACAGGATTACAACACTTATTAATCCTCTTCCAAATGATATTGTTTGTTTACCTCTGTAGCATTCCGCTACTTGGAAATAATTCAGTCATCCTTATAATGTCAAAGCGAGAATTTCGTACGATTTTCTTTTACGAGTTTAAACTCGGCCGAAGCGGAGCCCAAACGGCTAGAAACATTAACCAAGTCTGGGGCGAGGGTTGTGTTAATGAGTGCACTGTGCAAAGGTGGTTTAAAAAATTTCGGGAGGGAGATTTCAGCCTTGAAGATGAAGAAGGTCGTGGAAGGCCTTCCTCTCTTAATGATGATGTTCTGCGATCAGTGGTGGAAGAAAACCCCAAAACAACTGTTCGAGAACTTGCAGAGCAACTCAAAGTCAGTAAAACGACCGTCGCTGACCACCTCAAGGCGATTGGAAAAGTGAAAAAACTCGAAAATTGGGTTCCACACTCATTAAACGATCGCCAAAAAAATCAGCGCTTTGATGTTTGTGCATCACTTCTTTGTCGAAACAAAAATGACCCATTTCTGGCCAGAATTGTTACATGTGACGAAAAGTGGATTCTCTACGATAACACTAGACGTTCTGGACAGTGGCTCGACAAAGGAGAAGCTCCAATACATTTTCCAAAGCCCCCAACTCATCAAAAAAAGGTAATGGTTACGGTATGGTGGGCTTCATTTGGTTTAATACACTACAGCTTCTTAAATCCTGGCGAAACCATCAATGCTGAATCATACTGTAACCAAATTAATACCATGCATCAGAAATTGGAAGTAATGAAGCCCTCTTTGGTCAATCGGAAAGGGCCCATTTTGTTGCATGACAACGCTCGACCACATGTGTCACGTGTAACGTCACAAAAATTATTGGAGCTTGGCTATGAAACTTTGCCTCACCCACCCTACTCTCCGGACCTCTCGCCTACTGACTACCATTTTTTTAGACACCTGGACCACTACTTACAACACATAATATTCAAAAATCAAACGGAACTGGAAAATGCATTTATTGACTTTATCAATTCTAAAAATTCTGAATTCTACTCAGACGGAATTAATAAGTTACCAACACGTTGGGAGAAATGTATTGAGAGTATGGGAAATTATTTTGATTAAAGAACATTGCTTTAAAGTAACTAGTTTCTTTTTTTTTGTTTAATACCAAAATCCTGCATTATTTTCCGGACAACCCAATAATACTATAAAGCAAACTGTATCTTCTATCAAAATTTGAGTCATAAAGTAATCCCAACCGCGGGAACACCGGTGGGAACTCAAACAACCAACTATACTGTCGATGCACGAAGTGAAAAAATTAAAAATTAAAACTAAGCAGATACAAAAAAAAAAAAAGTATAAGAAGAAAAAAATAAGATTCGTTGATAAAAATTTAAAAACGGCAGAAATAGTCCCAACTCTTTATAACACGGTAGGAAAAATACACTTGTCAAATATTAAAAGACCAAGAAAACTAGTGCGAAACGATAACGTTGCAGGCCCTTTCTACTTCTCTCTGGAATCAACGCATCAAGAGCCGATATAATAGATATCCCGCATAACCCTCGGGATTGGCTTCGGTGAGTCCCTAGGGAGGGCCAGATTGGCGATGGTAACGTCCGCGAAGATCTGGCGAACTTGCCCAAATTGTGTACGCCATACCTCTACAAGGCTAAGTTCCTTGAACTTGGAAATAGATACTCCGGTTTTCGGATTTTTACAGACGGGTCCAAGACCGGCGATGGTGTGGCGTGTGCTGTGTATAGAGAGGGAGTGGCCACCTTTTGATCGTTGTCCCCTCATTGCAGCGTATACACGGCAGAGCTGTATGCGATTTGGCACGCTCTCGAGGCGGTGAGGGCTCAGCCTTCCTCATATGTACCGACTCTCTGAGCGCTGTCTGGGCTGTATGCGACAGGTTCTCTGTGGACCCCCTCGTCGTTCTCTTGTCAGAGAAATACGCGAACCTGGAGTCTCTCGGAAAAACGGTGGTAGCTGTGTGGATTCCCGGACAGTCGGCCTGGAGGGTAACGAACGCGCGGACGAGGCGGCGAAAGCCAGTACGTCCCACCCTCCAGATCGGACCATCGCGATCAGGCCCCCTGACGCTAAACACGCAGTTAAAAATATGATAAAAGAAAGATGGCAGCGTCAGTGGGCGGGGTCGTCGGGGAGGCTCTTCCGAGTCAAGAGCACGACTGGTACATGGCCTTCAGAGAACCTGAGCAGGAGACGAGGGGTCGTCCTCACCCGACTGAGGATTGGCCATACGCGGTTGACACATGGGCACCTGCGCGGGCTTTGGCCTACCCTTATGCAGAGAAAGGTTGCTCGATGTGTCCCACATAATAGAGGCTTGTCATGCCTTTGCGCAATACAGAGAGCGTGTAGGCATGACGCCGGACTTAAGAAAATTTCTCGAGCACTGCAGCGAGTTTCACGGTTCCCTGTTCCGCGTTTTAGGGGAAATTGGTTTTTTTTTTGTATATAGTATGTCTTATGTGTTGTGTGTCTATATGCTTTGTCTGAGTGCATGT